TGCGATAGCACACTTGTGCCAGCTCACTGTGCTGACTCATTAAAGTGAGTTGGAGTTACTGAGTCAGCACACCAAAATTTACAGAGTTACCCACCCTTACCTTGCCTGGAACGAACTAACTAACTTCAAAAGAAAAATTCTCAAATATCAAAAAAAAAACAGGCTGGGGACAACGCAGTGAACATAATGTTCAGCATTTCTGGAGCAAAGGAACGCAAAAATAAACGAAACTTTGAATTGTAATATAATTTGTAAATATCACACACAAAACGTCAAAAGAACTACGTAAATAAATTAAGCCAATAAGAAAAATAAAAATAAACGAAACTTTACTTTAAATGCATAAAAATAATAAAATAGTAAAAGATATCCGTATGTTGTAAGGGGTGCAATGAACACCATTATGCGATCAACTATTAGCATAGTTAAAAAAATTTAACTTAAATTTAAATGATCCCAAATTAATATAATTATAATATGTATAAAGAAAAAAATACCAATTTAGGTAAACAGTTGAATTCCATAAAAAATACTCAGTATCATAAATATTTAATACACTATGCTGGTATACATATACATACACACATAATAGTTGTAGATAATGGTTAAGTTAAAAAAGTCTAAAACGAGACATTCCTGCATTTATTAGAAGAAGAATAAATACTTAATTTAATGGAAAAACTGTGTAACAAACTTAGAAAATCCATAAATAATAAAATGTAGCATTGAATCAAAAGAATTTAAAAAATAAATTAATAAATTTGGTTAATAAATTGTTAGTTAGCCATAAGGATATTGATTTTTTAATAATAAAATTGAAAAATTATTTAAAACTATAAACCGAACAAGAAAAAGGAAATGTATTTGATTTTCTCCACACACGCAACCAAGCACACCGCAGGTAAGCTTTCAAAAATTTTGTTATTTTATATTTTGTTAAATGAGCAATTCTTGTATATAAATATATGTATATGTATACATATCCGTATATCCATAGGTTTCTCGAAGATCGCTCTAACCATTTTGATGAATACAGATTCAGTTTTTTTCCGAGAATACACGTATAAGGTTGCAGCCAATTTCTTAGCCGACATAAATGTTCAGTGGTTATTGCAGATGGGCAAAAATTGTTGAATTCATACACAAAATGTATGTCAAAGCGTATTTTGGATAAACTCGCTCAGAAAGAGTTGGCTCTTGTTGCAAAAGACCTGCAGCCATCAAGTATTACTGAAGGTAAACGCCCCAAAGCGATTTCAAATATGTTAATGCTTTTGTTAAATCCAAAAATTTTTAGGATGTGGCTTTCGTGAATACGTTCAGGCGGTCGTGAACATCAGCGCAGAGTACGGTTCGCGCAGCGTTGACGAGTTGGTAGTGTCCCGGAAGAAGTTGACTGGAACTGTATTGATTGAAGAATACAACAAAATTAACCAACAACTTGTTATCAGTTTGGCAGACCAGCAATTAGCATTTACTACTGATATGTGGACTGACCAATACACACACAGAAATTTCATTTGTTTAAGTGCACATTATATAATTGAGTATTTTCATTTAAAAGTAGCTTTAGGCGTAAAAGAATTACGGGATGGTAAAAAACTGGTGTAAATATTCTTCAACATGCAAATGACATATTAGATGAATAGGGTTTACAAAGCAAATTTAAGAATAGTGCTATTGTAACCGACAAATGTTATCGCTTTTAGCAAGTATAAGCGAATTGCATGCGCCTGTCATTATTTGAGTTTGGTCATGGATGATGTAATCGACAAAAACCGACTCGATGAAATCAAATGATAAAAAATTCAAAAAAACTTGTCAAATATTTTAAACCTTCTGTAGCTCGTTTCTGCAACAATTCTCTACCAAGGCGAATTCTCTACTGCTAATGAGTAGTAGAGTAATGAATACCAGTAGAGAAATAATCAGTAGAGAAGAGTTACAAAAACGAGATACTGAGCTAAATCATAAATTGTGTAAGCTCCTGAAGCAAGATGTAAAAACACGGTGGAACTACACTTATATTGTGGTTAATAATATAAGCGAAGTTCATAAAGAAATCCAAAGTTTGCTCTTATCAAAAACGAAATTAAAGGTACATAAATATATCTGACACATAGTTGTCTTCAAGCACGAATAGGTTTCTCGAAAGTGTACTAACTTTCTGCTGATGCAGATCTCTTCGAAATTGCCCCCAGGATTCCGAATGTTCAAGTCCGAAAATCGCAACAGATCATATATATATATATATATATATAATATATATATTAAGATGAACCTAATTTGTATGAAGCGAAAAAAATCTACTTTTTAATTGGGATACCATCCAAAATCGTGATGTTGGCTGCAAAATTAAGAAATATGAAATTTGAGCCCGATTTGAGGTTATTTAGAACTTCGGCATTGAGCCAAAAGACTTATACGACCCAAAAATCGTCTCACAAATTTTAATAGTATTACACAGCGCAACAAAAATGGAAACAAATGTTAAAGCTGTATCCGATAAATTTGTTTGAGCTAATTACGAATTCATAGATAGAAGGATTCCATCACAAATGTTACCACTTACTACTCGTGGTGTTTATGTTAGCAATGCGTTACTACTTTTAGCTTTATTTTGTTTTTAGTTCCGAGAATCTTCTACTTTGTAGCCATACGTCCATGTTTGGAGGTTTATTTTGCGTGTTTTTATTTATTTTTTATCATTTGGAAGGTTGTTCCATTCACAAATAAATTTTTACATATATATTTTTTTAATAACATCTCTCTTTTTATGTGCTATCATAAATGGAAGTGCCATTAAAAGGTATTTAATCTCTTATTCGACATAATAAGTAACAACTCAACTTATTTTCCCTTCACTGAATAACCATCTCTTGAATGTTGGCATTCTGCAAAGCATCTTAGCAAAATGAACATCAATAATGCATGTTCTCACAATGAAAATAGACAAAAGACCCGGATAACACACAACTCTAAGTTTGGAGAACGACTGGTTTTATAAAGGTTTTATAAGGCTCTTCTCATAGACTGTGCTCTTATAAGGGTTTTATAAGGATCTGCATGTAGACATATTTTTATAAGCCTCTTCTTCTATTCCCTTTCCTCTAAATTTCATGATTAGTGAAAATCCTCTACTAATTTAAACATTTAGACCTCTATAAATTGTCTTTGTTCAAAGTGATTAATCAATAATTTTTTGTTGAGCAATTAGTCAGCAACAAGCCAAATTTATACAGTTCTATAAATTTAAATTTTTAGAGAAATTTCGCATTCTATTTTCGAAGTAGGATTTGTCTTCATAAAGATAATGAACCCTCTTCAGTCACACCATTTCGGATTTCGCTAGATAAAAAAATACTTAGTTTTTGAAGTTATATACC